AAAAAAAAAAAAAGAATGAAATTTCTGAAGTCATCCATCATTTTGACAGGCGGTTGTGATCTTCACCGAACTTAGAGGTTTTAGAATACGATTTCTCTTTGAATTGTGGGAGAGGTAAATTTTCTACAAATGAACTTAAGTGAAGAGAGGTTTTTGTTAGAAATAGATTTGGCTGTGTGTAACAGCGGCTTAAACAAGTTTAAACAGGAATGTGTTTCTCTCTCAAGAAGAAAGACAAGAGGTAGCCAGTTCAAGGCCAGTTTGGTGGTTCCACAATCACCAGGGCCCTAGGCTCTTTCTTGCTTGCATCTGTCAAAAAAAAAAAAAAATCTGTCATCTTCAGTATGACATCTTATGGCCCAAAGTATCTTTCCAAGCTCCATCACCTCTGCCCTGCGGTCAATAAGAAGTGGAACAAGGAAAGAAGACTTCCTAGACATGATATGTGACATTTCTACCTAAAATCACTGGCCAAAACTTAGTCATCCAAAACAGGTACAGAGTTTGATTTTTGTGATGATGAGAAAGTTTTGGAAAAGGACAGTGATGTACAACAGTGTGAATAAACTTAATGTATAATACTATAAACTTAAAAATGCTAAATTTTATGTTGTATATATTTTGCCACAAACAAACTTAGTCATCTAGAAGGAGGGGAGGTTAGGAAAAATGATTTTTATTCTGGATAGCCATTGTCCTTCTAAAAATCTGAGGTTCCATTACTAATGAAGAAAAGGAGGATCAATATTGGGGAATTCCTAGCAGTTATTGAAAGACACATAATGGTCGAAAATACGAAGCACAACAAACAAACAAAAAAGAAATATAGAAACTCATACATGACCTTGGAAGTGAATTGAAGTAGGAATTACTAATTATGCTTTTATCAGGGGCAAAAGAATACATCAGACCAAGCTTTGGTGTCTGATCCAAAATCTTTATGTTTTTATGTCTGTTCAGTGGCATTGCCAAAGCATGGAATCAGGCATATTTTGGAGAAGGATCTGGCCCAGTAATGTTGGATGAAGTGCGTTGTACTGGGAATGAGCTTTCCATTGAGCAATGTCCAAAGAGTTCCTGGGGAGAACATAATTGTGACCATAAAGAAGATGCTGGAGTGTCCTGTACGCCTCTTACAGGTAAGGATGTCACCACATCAGTATACCAACTCCTGCTCCCAGTAGCATTGGGCTTGCCACAGCTTCCCTGATCCTTGGTTTAGAGAATACTACCAAATGAGCATACAAATCAATGTCCCAAATAAAACTAAAAAAAAAAAAAAAAAAGAACACAAATTGTATATTAAAATATGACATAGATATTTCTGAATTTTTCAGTTTAATCCTATACTATCCTACAAAGCTCGATCACAAAATATGACTTCATTGCAATATAATAATCAAAATCAGTGTGGAGTGATACATTTCAGACAGTAGGTGTAATAATTTCATCTGTAGTCAATTTATCTAGTAACTTCCCTTGACTCTCAGAATGTGTTTAATGTGTTTAATGTGTTCATAGCTGAAAAAACTGTAACAATGCAATTGCTGATTGAAGCACACTGTTTGAGAAACCAAGTGGACTTTGCTGTGCTCAATTTTTAGAATATTCCAGAATGTAACATGCCTATCATAATATGCCAGGTGTTATAAGAAGGGCATGTGTGAGTACAGACTGGTGTGTATGTATGTACTTAACCTGTGTATGTACTTAACAAGAAGAAGAAAATGGACAGGTAAGAGAAGTTGTGTCATCAGAGCCATTGTTTCTATGATAACAAGAATTTGAAGAAAAAGTGTTTTTGTTTCAGTCTTTCTTTAATAAAAATCAAAAGAATGACTTCTCAGAGTCTACGAAATAGCAAATTTACGTTTTTGTTGATGTAGTTTTCTACATGCTATTGTTTTTATTAACAGATGAACATATTGATATACAATAAAAATAGAGAATTTCTGGCCAGGTTTTAAACCAGAGGGCTTCATCTTCTTAAGCCACTATTTCCCCCTCTTTCAAGCATTGCTGTGATGGTCCGATGAGGTAATTCTTGTCACAGTGCTTTGTAGATAGTAAACTGTTTATGTCTGTTGCTAAGAGACCTTTATTTGCTTTTAAAAGAATTTAGAGATTCATGAGAAGCATGACTTTTACCCAAGATTCTTTATATGTTTGATTGGGGAGTATTTGCATATTTCGGATGGAAATGGTTTTTAAATCTACTTCTTTGGAATTAAATTTGTTATATATGCATCTGCTTAGAAATTCTGTATAGAATTTTCAGGGAATTAGTTATTCATTGAGTTAATAAGATTCAAACTCAGGTCTGTTATCATCAATAAAAGAACAAAGGCAAGATGCGTGTTCCAATTTTTATAATTCATGAATGCTAAGGAATTCTAAATGTGTTCCTAAGGAATACTAAATGTGTTGACATGACAGATTGTCCTTTATCCACAATAGTTTTCTTTTCTGTCTTCATATTTTATTTGCACTTAAAATTTTGAGCTGTTTCCAACTTAATATGTTTTCTTACTTTCTAAATTTTTTCTAAATTTAAATGACCAATACTGCTTAGATTTAAAGAAACTGGTGTTATAGGAAATTTCCCACATAATTTTTAGTCCAGAGAAATTTAAATAGATCCTTTGGAATTATGTCAGAATACATTTTTCTACTCAGCAAATAGAGTACAAATAAAACGGAATGGATATTTTATTAAGACAGAACTATGTAATGTCAAACTTCAGAATCAATTCAATAACCTCAGGTCGTTGAGCACAGATATAAATTAAAAAAAAAAAAAAAAAAGCCTACGGGGAGGCCTGAATGTGGTGAAATGGTAATCTTTCTTTCCTGTGAAATGGCAATCTTGTTTTGCGGTGTTTTTGAGAATTGATTTGCTTTGTCTCCGTGTCTCCTTTTAATCGCAGATGGGGTCATCAGACTCGCAGGTGGGAAAGGCAGCCATGAGGGTCGCTTGGAGGTGTATTACAGGGGACAGTGGGGCACTGTCTGTGATGATGGCTGGACGGAGCTGAATACATACGTGGTTTGTCGACAGCTGGGATTTAAGTAAGGTTCATTGGCGTGAGGCAGCTAAATGCCACATTATATCTGTAATAGTATTATTGTGTGATCTCTGTTGTAATTTCTACAACACTAAAAATACACATTCTCTATCATCTCTCTACCTCCCTACCTACCTATATATGGAAGTTCTACAATAAAAATGATGACATTTTCCAGGGCGATGGATAACCATCGCTTGCTGTGTACGGCATTTACCTTTCCCACCACCACTCCTCTTCTTGAATAACTGGTTGAAGCCAGGGGGTGACTTCTAGGTCGCTTTGTGTCTATTGAAGTAGGACTCTGAATGCCCCATTCTATCGATTGGATGTTGTTAGTTATGACATCATTGTGTCTAAAATTGCCGAGAAGTCTGGTGTCAAATGCTTTAGGGTTGCATTATTCCCTTTCTCAGAATATGATGATAATTATCACTTTTATTTGAGAAAAACAGCCTTCTTGTCATGAGATGACCTTTAGAACTCGCCTTTGCCCTCACTCACTTAGAAGCTAAGTATCATCCTTTGAGACGTATGTTTCCTATTACACACGATGCATTCCAAAGTAAAGACTGAACTATGTCCCAGGAACTGCAAATGATGCCTTTTCAGTGAGATGGCGAAGGAAGCCCATGAATGCCCATTCTTTCTTGTTTTTCACATTTCTATGTAATGCTTGAAGTAATTGTCTCGTGCTTGAAAAAAAATTGGCCAAATTATTGCATGTCAGCTTGAAATAGAGCTATTTGCAAATAGTCACAGAAGCCTAAAAATATACCTTTATTCAAGTGAGGCAAAGCTATGTTTATACCTATATTTAAAAATTTATAAAAAAATTTATGAAAGTAATATAAGACAGAAAAGTTTAGAAAAGTAAGAAAATAAAACACTCTCCATAATTATGCATCATAAGTGGTATGTGTAACTTTATATCAGGTCTAGTGGTAAACATCTAATTTTTATATACTTTTTAAAACCTTTTTATTGCTTTAGTCACAATTTTTAATGGTAATATACATCAGATGCTCATAGCATAATTTACTTAATTTTAGTCTAGTAGTCTAGTAGTAAACTAGTAGTAAACATCTAATTTTTATATACTTTTTTTTAACCTTTTTATTGCTTTAGTCACAATTTTTAATGGTAATATACATCAGATGCTCATGGCATAATTTACTTAATTTTTAGTTTAATTTAATTTTTTCTTTCCTTGTTACGAACAATGCTATCATGAAGATATAAGTGTACACAATTGTCCCAGGTCTTGAATTTTCCTGGGCAGAGCAATTATAATCACTGGGTAAAGGGATGTGCCATAATAGCCACATAAATATGGGTATTAACTTTTAATTAATGAGAATTACTTAATATGTGTCAGTTTGTTTAAGGAACTCTCTGCTAGACTATTAACTGTACCCTATTTTCACAGATTTAGAGTCATAAATCCTATGCTTACTATTCATATTCATCTTTTTTCCTTATCAATGAAAACAACTGAAGTACATTGAGTTTTCTTCTCCATATTTTATTTATTTTGTTCCACAAGTCCATTTAGTTTTTTCTTTCATACACATAATATAAAAATTTACTGATTCTAAAAATGTTCTCAATAATATGTGGGAAAGTTCTAAATGATTATGCTGGAAAGTAGTAAGAGCATGTCCTACATTTCGTTTAGAGAGGAATTTTTGAAAAAGAATTTTTTGGGGGAATGAGAAAAAGGGTGAAGTTTTTTTTGTACAAATGTGATCGCAAAGTGAAATGACGTCCTGTTATGTCATACAGGGTGTCTATGATTGCACATGAACTTTATGGACACCCTGTAGAGTTGATAGGGATGGATGATAATCAGACTGAGGCATTTTGTATAAAAATAGTATAAGTTAAAAATAATTGCAATAGCTCTCACCTAATGGTCACAATGTAAGGGTACACTCCCCAGATGAAGGGCTCCACTACAATTTGAACTTTACCTCAAAAATGGAAACAATGTAACCTAATCATTTGTACTCATATTAATCTGAAATAAAGAAATATATAAAAGATAAAATAATTTTCAAAAAGAATAATTGCACCATATAGCTTAGCCAAGTGGACACATCAAAATGACCAGCATACCAACCTTCCACACTGGGGGTGAGGGAATGTAAAAAAAAAATGATAGCTGTGTGGGATTTAGGTGAATTTACTTTTCTGGTTACAACTTAAGTAGTCAGTAGATAGGAGGGAAAAATGCCTTAGAATGGTTGATTAAATGTTTCATTATTTTACTTTAGTAAAATATTCATATTGCTAAATAAATTTAATAAATACTGGTATAGGAAAAAAATTAATAAAATTCATGGCAGTGAGGAAGATCTCATTATACTCTTACTATAGAAGTAAGAAGAATAGGAAATGAGGGAAATGAAAGACATAAAATTTATGAGTAAGAGTTGGATTTCATGGACTGGTAGAACCAAGAGACACCTTAAAGATCCTTAGGCTCAGGGATTTGTGGAGGTTTGCATTTTATTAGCACAAAAGAAAAAAATATTGGAGGGAGAAAGAAAGGGTGTAGACTAACTTTACCCATTTTTAAAATTACCGATAAAATTACCAGATCTTTCCTATTTCTGCAACGTATATATTTATTACGATATACTTAGTTTTTTATAGTGCAATGTTACAAATAGAGTAGTTGTAACAAATATTATTCATGAAATATTTTTAAGATTTGAGCTCATCAAATCTTATGAAAAGCTAAGAACATTTTCATTTTGATTTTGATGGGCTGAAATTCAAATTTTATTATAGGTACAGTAATAGAGTAATCACTGAACTAATCCACGCTTTTCATTTTGGGGAAGAGGATAACAGCGAAGCCTAGAGAAGCTGATGAAATCAAATGAGCTCAGATGGTTCATCAGAGGCCAACACGACATACAGTTTCCCACTTTCTGGTCCCAGCATTGCTTCAGGAATTTGAGATTTTTTTTCTTTGTCTGCGTTCTTTATGATTGGTGGGATAAGTTGTAGACAAAACACAGAGTGGATGGGGAAAGAGGAGCAATTATTCATTAGTCACTCACTGAAATAATAAAAAATTGTTAAGATGACCAACATCTGTGATGGGCAAACACAGCTCTTAGAACTTTGTCCCGAAGGTGGGAGAAAGAACAAATACTCATCCTCTGAAATCATGTCACTTAATGTTTGTTGGATGTTTTGTGGTCCTTGAAATGAGAGACAGCAGTCTCTTTACAATGTGTGCTTTATTGCTACAGGTATGGTAAACAAGCCTCTGCAAACCATTTTCAAGAAAGCCCAGGTCCCATATGGCTGGATGATGTCAGCTGCTCAGGAAAGGAAACCAGCGTCCTTCAGTGTTCCAGGAGACAGTGGGGAAGGCACGACTGCAGCCATCGGGAAGATGTTGGTATCTCCTGCTACCCTGGCAGCGATGGACACAGACTTTCCCTGGGTGAGGACTGACTGCGGCCATCAAGTGTGCACAATTTAGTAGCCACGGCACTTCTAACTGCTGTCCCGAAAGTGAAGCATTTCTCAAATTTGACATTTTTTGGTCTATTTCCCATAACTGTCTAAGTTTTGATAATTTTTATGCAGAGCAAAACCATCTTTTGAGTCTCTCTACCAACTATGCCATTCCTGCTCCTAACTGTGTTTCTCTTCATTTGGAAGCCTAAGTTTCTCACTACGGTGTTTATAATCACATGCATCTGAAAGATGAACTGAAGAAGCTGCAGTATCCGTCTCCCTACTCCTGGGTCACCAATTCAGATTTTTATCTATCTTGAATTCTAATGCACTATTTCAGACAAGATTTTAAAAAAAAGAGCCCACAGCCCCACCCCGGCCGGTTTCAGGATTCATTTCTTTTCTAAACCTGAGCTACCCATTGCTCTTTTGAGTTTCTCAGTGGACTTCCAAATGGATTCCTTGGAGTTACTATCTTTCTCAGGCATCCTTTTATTCTAGAAACTGCCCAGGGACCTCAATGACAATTTGTTTAGATTTGTAGTTGGATAAAAGGTAACTAGCTCCTTGAACAGTCTTGAAATAATTATGGATGAAGATCGTTTTAAGAGCAGAAAGCAATTAAGCATTCCTGACAGATTCTTAATGTCTTATGCGTAGGGCAGAATAAGTGTGAGCGAAAAATACACAAGAAAGTATTCAAAAGACTTTCCAAAATGTGACTATAGCTGAGTTATATATCTCCACATGTATTTGTGTGTGTGTGTGTGAGTAGATGTGAAAATGCCATAGACGGTCTTTTATCCTCAGGATTGAATCAACCCCTCTTGCATTCTTTTGTTTTGAGACTGTGAACCTGAAACTTTCACATTATGGCTGACTCCTTATTGCACTCTAAACACGAGATCATAGTAAATCACCGCATGAATCTAGCATTATACCAAGTAGAAATGCAAATTTTTATTCTATCTCTTACAAGTTTTATTTCCAATTTTCTCTTTTTGTATTTGTTCTCCTTGGTCCCTTATCCTCTTCTTGTTATGCTGGTCCCCGGGCTTATGTGATATGATTGATTCCCTGTGGCTGGGAGTTAAAACTTGTTTGCTCAGAATGGATCCTCTCAGTGCCAGGTAGCAAGTATTAGGATCACGGGGCGATAAATTCAAATGTGCTCCATCACTCTATCTGGTGAGAAAATACTGAGTTCTCTGTGTTGTTAAATGCATTATTAGGACAACTGATCTTTTCATTTTCCCTGAAAATCTTTTTAATTTTATGACTCTAGATGTATTTTTTAAAAATTTAAAAAGCTGAGGGTAATACTGATTAATAAATATGTGATCACGATTATGAATCTCTTTAGTTCTAATCTTAGTAACGTTGTCTATTAACTAAAGTCATTTGTCTAAAGAACATTACGTCTGAGCCAAATATCCTTTTAGAATGTAATCATATTACCATTTATTCATTCAAATAGATCATTACTTTCCCACTTATTAAAAGATACCATGTATTTAAAAGATCAGCTTAGAGAAGAATGGGTTCACAAACTTAATTGTCAGACCTCATACATTCTTAGCTCTGTTCATGGATAAATGAACAGACATGAAACAAAAACAACCTCAAGTTAATGTTCTTTAACTATTTAGCAGTTAGATGTAATAAAGTGATTTACAATTTAACAGTGTCCTTCCTTCCTTCCTTCCTTCCTTCCTTCCT